GAAAATGAAAATGAAAATGAAATAAAAATATTCAGACTAGAAAAAAGTGAGTAGATTGTAAACTGTAATGCATCTTGTATGGTTTTGAATCAGCATGGTGTGGAACTCTTATCTTTGGTTTAAACCACAATTTATAAATATGTTTTCCTTAGACAAAGGCTAAGGTAATACAATTTTCTGAATATTTGCGTTCTTAGTCTATTGCTTATGAAAAAACCCAATGTTGTATATACACATTCAGAGTGACATTAAATATATGATCTTATTTTTTTTTTTACATCCGCAGCCATCCAAATGGAAGTACAGAAAGTCAAGCAGAAAATTAAAAATGAGAAGGAAAAAGAGAGGGCAGCATATGCAAAAATGTTTGCATGAATACAGTTTTTATCTGTTTACACAGAAAGAGGCAGGATTAATGTGAGTCATTATGGCAGCATGCTTACATCTATCATGTGTTTCAAGACTCATACTATTTTATATATTTACATTTTGGATTTTAAAATAACACTTTAAAAAACCTGTTAAGCTTACCATAAAAACACTTGTGGTTGTATTTTAGCTTAAAATATAAAAAACTACAAAATAAAACATCAGAATGATGCTGCAAAGAGCTTGTACAAGTTCGGTAACATAAGTACCATTTTACATGTTCCAGATTGTTTGTCTCCCTTCAATTCTTCTAGTAACTTACATTATGATTGCAAAGTGTAATTTGTTACAGAAGTTGAAGAAATAAACAAAATTTCTAACTCAAATAGAGAATGCTTTTATTACATTTTATTATAACAAAATGAATTCATACCAGAGTAGTGTTGCTCTATTCGTTAGTCTTGAAAGATGTATTTCCCTTGAAATAGCCATCAAGACAAATATAATAGTTACAGATATTATAAATATTCTGTATCCTGGATTAAATCCATTATTAGTATGACTATATAGAACAATCAGAATAAAATTAGATCAGGATGTATTCAAACTCGTTTTAACCAGGTATTCTCTGAATAGAAAAAATACATTCAAATAATGCTTGTCTATTTACTAATTAAGGCACCAACACATTCAGACTGCCGAACACTAATCTCAAAACCGATGTGTCCAGTTCTTTTCAGCCTGGTTAAAACACTTTGACCTCTAAGAAGTGTCCACTGATGGTAAATGCCACAGGTTAAATAGTGATTTTTTGCATCAATTTGGTGGGTAGGGTGGGGGTGGGGGTAGGATTTTAATTTATAGAAAAGGTTAAAATAGAATATCCATTTTTATATTTGAGTGAAATATTAAAAGATCATCCAAGATCCGTTTTGCTGCTGAGCTTTAGTACTGTAGCATGATCTGAGGACATGTGGCCTGTTGATTACTCTAACCTTCATAGAGAATGGGCCCCTTAGACCCCATAACATTTACAATAGCAAATCCCGAGCTATTATCATTTTGTAGCATTGCCCACATATTTTAAAAAATGGATTTAAACTACATTCCATTATAAGCTGGTCCTCCTCCACCTTCTGGTACAACCCAGTTAATATTCTGGCTGGGATCTTTAATATCACATGTCTTACAATGGACACAGTTCTGAGCATTTATCTGTAATCGCAATCCTTCTCCACTTTCCACAGGAACATATTCATAAACTCCTGAAAAATAAAAATGTAATTTTAGTTTAAGAGACAATAGAACTCAATCAGAAAACCTCTTATCAATAAGAAAAAAATCACATTATTTGTCAGTACAATTAGAAAGCGGAGTGAAGTTGTCTGATAAATCCTTTGCTTTTCCCAAAATTGGCAGTTACCTGCTGGGCAAAATCGCTGCTCAGGTCCATCATATATAGCTAGATTATGGTTGACAGGAATACTATCGTCTTTCAAAGTTAAATGAGGAGGCTGGTCATGTTCATGATTTGTACCACTCAAAGCTACTGATGAAAGCAAATCAAAACTGACTTTTCCATCGGGTTTTGGATATTCAATAGGTGTACAATCTTTGGCTGGCTTTAACTTTTTTGCATCTGTTCCTGAAATAATAACAACACGGGGGGAAAAACTGATAAAAAGAACTGAAAAAATTGACTACACATTGGTGACAGTATTAAAAAAGCATTTAGTGAGCTGAAAGAAATGCCATTTTAAATAGCTTTGTTGTCTTTGAACACTTGGCATACTTGAGATATTCTACACTATAAAGAATAAATTTTAACATCTTGATATAACTAGTTTTTATATTGGATAGTAAAAACATATTTTTCATTAGGGGAAAACATTTTCCAATTGCATTGGGCTAAAAAAAATCAAATACATAAACAATATCATTTTGATTACCACAAATGTGGCTCAGTTTTCTGTACTAAGATGCTAATTAAGTTGCAAGATTGTTGTCAGCTTTACTAGGTAGACCGGACTAGAAACACAACCAGCTAAGCCAATTCTACTTTATTGTAAAGCTACGTTAGCAGAATCTTGAACATCTGAAAATACTATTCCACCATCTCCTTTATAGCCAGAGAAACCAGGGAAGGTCCATTCTGAGCTTCTTGCCCCACCCAGCAGCTGCTCCTAGGGAGTATCTCTTTGCCCAAATCCCATTACCATTACAGTAAGACACACATAGTAATAAGTAATGAAAATTTTTGGGGAAACTTCCTATGAGAAGTTGGGGGGTTGCATTTAGAAAACGACTAGATATTCATAAAGCAATAAACAATTTAGAAGTATTTTTATTTTTATGGAACAACTGCCACACTCATTTGGAACATTTATATGGCACGTAACTGTAGAAAACAGGCTGTCCTAGTTATACCCAAAACAGTCATTTTGACAACAGTCTGGCAGCTTTCTTCCTTCTATCATCTTTTTTCATAGTACATTTAAAAAGCTAAGACAGTTGATTTTACTCACAGTAATCATGGACAAATGTTTATGTTCTCTACCCTCCCATGCACAAACACGTAGGAAAAGAAAACTTGGAACTGATTCTTTGTCAGACTTTATACGCAGTTTTGTAAATTATTATGTTTAGCATTGGTTGCCTTTGTACATCATGCTAAACATAATTAAAACATTGCCAAATTAAAATAACCAGGTTCTATTTATGCAAATCATTAACAACTTTTCATCACGTAGTATGATGATTATTACAAACCTGAATGTCTTTCGAGATACAACTATGCAAAGTTCATGAAAGGGAGATTTCTCAATGATTGCCAATCATTGCACTAGGAGAAATACACAGACACCATGCTTCTAATATTTATGCCCTGTTTATGAAAAGTGGCTTACAGAATCACAGACTATATGGAACATGATGGTCAAAACCAAACATTTATGAGCACGATTCATTAGTTTTTTTTAAAAAATAATAATTTTGAAAGAAGTTACGAAGTTGTATGTCAAAAACAAAGCAAAGGTTTTATCAATTTACCTCCATGCTTTAGAGTCCAAGGTTCAAATCCTCTTAGTATCCAATAGAAAATACCAGTGTAAATCATTCCTCCATATAAACCTAAGATTCCATGACAGGAGGGGCGAATATTCCTAACTCCATAAATCTCTTTCCACACCCATGATTTTTTCAGATTTTCTTCATATTCAGGCACGTGAAGGCCTAAGAATAAACAACTAATTATTAAAAGGCTTTGCAATTTTTTTCTTTAAAAAAACCCCAGTGCTATAGGTTTTCTTTTTCATGGAGATCAACTTTTTCACATTAAAACTATTTTTACTCTGGGAAAATTAAATTTAAACGCCAATGGACATTGGAAAAAGATTAGGATAATGCTAATGTAACTATGTCATAACTATGGTATCATGATGCAATGAACTCCTGAGCTACCTCTCTAGAAAAGCCAGATTGAAATCCGCTAGGTCTGTAATTCTGGAGAACTCCACTGCCAACTTGCTCATGGAGTCAAGGAGCTTAGGCAGGGAGATTGCTACATAGCATAGAGGCTGGTACAGTATAACAATCCCAAATGAGCCCTAGAGCTCAATTTAACAAATAGGATTTCACACCTAATAATCTGGAACCTTCCCAAACAATTTCGATGACAACTGCCACCAGGGCCACTGCTACCCTGTCATTTTGGTTGATACCACATATGAATCATAGATGGACATATCTCCCCCTCTGGCTCCAGGCAGGGTTCAGTGATACATGCTGGATCAGCCCCCCCATCCACAGTCAAATAGGAAGTGATCATGACTATTATAGACTGACTTAGCATTTAGCAGCAGCATCCAAAAGTCCAGGGTCTGGAAAATATTGGTATGCTCAGGTATGTTTAAAAAGAAAAAATGTACATATGGTGTACTTTTTCACATCTGAATTTATTTGCTTTTAAGTGCACTGCCTAAATTCTATACATTGCAGTATGACACAGATTAAAGCAATAAGTTAGTGATAACTAGAGACTTTCCTGAATTGCCAAAAGCACATATATTCTCATCATACCCCTCTTACCTATTGTTTTTGATTGGAGATTTTCATTGATTAGTTGATTGAAAATAGCTTCTGAAGCCAGCATTCCACTTTTCATAGCAGTGTGTGTACCTTTAATCTTGGGTACATTCATGAAACCTGGGCTACATCCAATAAGAACTCCACCAGGAAACGTAAGTTTGGGTATGCACTAAATATTAAAAAAACACATGCTACTAAGAGAATTTTGCAACAATCCATTTATAATAATAAACATTTTTGGAAATGAAACAATGGTTTATTTTTTTCTATGTGTCAGTTTAAGCAATTAACAGCTTGATCAATTAGTATATTATCAAGTTTGTTTTCCTACCCACCCCCCAAATCCAAGAAAGTAATCTTAGATAGCTATTACCTGATAACCCCCTTCATTAAGAGCTCGGGCACCATAACCAATCCTCTTTCCTCCTTCAAAGGTAGGTTGAACACTAGGGTGATGCTTCCACCTCTGAAATTCCTTAAATGGGCTCAAAAAAGGGTTTTGATAATCTAAACCAACCTAAAAAGACATTCAAATAAAATCCAAAATAAACTTGTTTCACTCAAAAAATTAGTTGAACACATCCTTGTATTAATTGATGAATATGCACACCTCACTTTGGGATGCAAACATACATTTTGTAGCAATAGAATAATTTATTGTGATTCTCACATTGACCTATTCTTTTAGTAATTAATATAAGTTGACATATAATGACCCCATGATGCATAATTTACCATGAATCTAGCCTCTGAAAATGAAGTATCAGATTTGATGGATCATCCATCAATGCCTCTCATGCAGCTGATTTCAAGGACAAGCTGAACCTTGTATTTCTGATCACTTCAAAATCTATGTTAACATATTTTAAGTTTTTTTTCAATTTAAAACATTTCAATACTGCAAGGTAGGTTATGATG